CCCCAAAACCCCAAAACCCCAAAACCCCAAAACCCCTAAAGTTGAAGATTTAGTTGAATTACTAAATTTTTTAATTTTTTTGAAAATTTGGAAATTTTAAGAGATTTTATGGATGAAGAGGGTGGAGAAATTTGGGTTTGGGGTAGGGTAAAGTGGGGGGTTTGGGGGAATTTGGAAGAGAATGGGGGGTTTTGGGGATGGAAGGGAAATTTTGGGGTTACTGAAGAAGGATGGATAGAGATGGGGAGTTTGTTAAGGAGATATTAAGTAAATCCTCTCTGGTTTTTCTTTTGAGCGTTCTCCTCATTGTGGAGTTGCTTGTATTTCTCAATTTCTTTGTCAAGATCTTCCATGATGTGGTCATCGAATTTAGTGAAATTCTCGATCTTTTTGGTAGAAATGGGTTTGGTCTATATATTGTTATTAAGAGAATACTTTGGACTCTATGAGCTGGGTTTCGCGACTTATTCCCGGATGAAGCAGAGGATGCTCAATGAACATCTTTCTGAGATCTCTCTGTGTACCAAGCTCTTCATCCATTTCTTTTGCTTCGATTTCAAGTCTTCTATAGTAATCTTCTTCAAGGTAGTTCATGTAGTCCTTCCGAGTGACATCCTGAAGCTTGTGAGAGTTTTTAACGAAATCTGCATCAATGAAATACAAAATTCTTTCCAGTTTGTGCGAAAATGGATCAAACACTGGATATGCTAGATAGTTAAAAATGTTTCTGATCGCCGAAGGATCTATCTTAAAATGTGTTGCCCAGAACTTTACATTGTATAACTCTGGATCTTCATTATTAAGATACAAGACTTTATAAATCTCGTTAGTAAGCATTCTGTGGTCTTGAGGAAGTTCTGCATACATTCCTTTGTCAAGACTTCTGGTTAGTTCTTCGTCTGAGACATAGAGTTCAGGTGGCTTTTCAACAACCAAAGCCTGTGCAACAATGTTTAACTTTTGAATTAAGCTCTCATCTTTGTTGAGCATATCAATTTCTCTAGGTGGCAATCTTTTGTCAGCCAACTTTTTGAATTCAGCCCTTTCGTTGTCAATGAAGTCATCTATTTTTCCTCCTGTAGCAAGCCTCAATCTTTCTTCAAAGGATGGTCCTGTGGCTTCCGGTAAGGGGATTATCACTGTATCCAGAATGTTGATAGACTTAAACTTTTTATAATATGCAACCTCTTTCATAGCTTTGGCTCTAATTTCAGGTGTTCTTACCCAATCTTCTAATTCGTGGTTGGATTCTTCTTCAAGTTCTCTCTTCTTTTTGAGAGTTTCAATATCTTCTTTTATTCCTTTAAGTTCATCAAGTTCACTTAAAAAGGCTCTTTCCCAGGGCATCATCTTTTCAGGATCTATGACCTGTAGCTGGTCAAAGTAATCTGAGTAATTATTGTAGCCATTTCTTAAGCAGTAGTCACTAATTTTCTCACTGTACAACTTATGGATATCGACCAGTTGCTCCAAGATGTAGTGTTCCATGATCATTATTTTATTAAAGAAACTATCGTCATTGTCTAGAGCAAGTTTTGCATTGTAATCACGATCGATTTCCATGTCCGTACCGTCAGCACGGACATAACCCTTCGAGCTGAAATCATATAGCATACGGTCTTCGAACTGAAGCCGGTTTATTTCAAACCTAAATAGTTCAGGTACCTGCTCGAATAGAAGACGTTTATCAACGGGGAGATTATGCTCGACTAGGTAATGCAAGCGCTCGAGATCCTTCTGATCCTCAGGGTGAAGTCTACTGTCTTCGAACAGGTTATGGTTAATTTGGTAGTACTTGATTACACCAAGCACTCATAATTTCTTTGCACCCGAGATTAAGTATTTTCCTTCTAAGTCATCTGGCTCTCCGATCTCAATCAAGTCCTTAGGATGAGAGATGGAAGGAGAGAGCTCTGATGAATTAGACTTTGCAAAATCAGGAATTTGACTATCATTAAGATTGTACAGTTCTCCTAGCATCTCAGTTTTGTATTCTTCATATCTCTTTTGCTTATTTTTCAAAATTCTTGCTTATATCAACATTAGCATATTTCCTGATCTTAGCAGTCTTGCTTCTTGGTACCTGAGTTAGTGTAGTCCTCTCGTAGTAGTTTTGAGCTACCTTGACAATTGGTCTGAATAGTTTCTTCATTATGGATTTCTGAAAATTTTATAAATTATTTTCAATCATGTGTCTGCGTTCAGGGGTTTTGGGGTTTTGGGGTTTTGGGGGTTTGGGG